GCAGCCTCCTTTTTATCCTATTTTCCCGGCCGCATTTCCCTCTCTCTTTCCCCATTGGCTGAGGTACTCGAGAAGCACAGACTTCCCGGAACGCCTGATACCTGAAATTCCCCTCTAATGTATAACCCTCCCTTTTAATTTTTAATTCTTATAGAATTTATAGATTTTCCCTGTTACTTCTTTCATCTTTCGATATCCAATTTCATTTATCAGCAGCCTTACAGTTTGTTTGTAAAGGCAAATATCTTTTTCCATTCATCAATCAGTGGAATCCATCCCATTGTTTCTTTTATCTCTCAGTGCTAGTCTTATCTACAAGCAGATCCACAGCTCATTTGTAAAGACAAATTCGACATTCCTCTCACTAGCAATCAGCTTATTTTTCAAACAAGGATCTCACTTTTAAACGTGAAACAGAGTTTTCATTTTAGAAAAGCCTCCACAAACTCAATTTTCCAGGCTGAAACCTTCCAAAACTCATTTGCCAATTTGGTAACTTTTTGCTCAGAAGATCAAATGAAAAATAGAAAAATAAGCCTTGCCTCAACAAAGCTGCATTTTCAAGTTTAAACCAGCTTCAAAACCATCCCACATCAATCTTTCTCAACAGCAGCTAATAGAGACTAAAGGAAAGAGCAACTGAGGCAGTTTCAAAGCTGGGTCATGCAGTCTCAGGTGGAGATGCTGTAAACGTGCTTCAACATCCTGCATTTCTTCTGACGACAGGAACAAAATGGGAAACAACTGAGAGAAACACATCAATTAATTTACTCCTTGGAGCATGAAGAGGGACGACGTTTCGGTAACCATTCTACAGCCACAGAGTACACAAACAGGTTTATCCTGCTTTGAGGTAGTACTTAAAACAGGATGATCTATCTGGATGGATGGTCTTGACATCAGATGCTCTTTACCAACAAGGAAGCTTTTCTGGAAATCCACCCTTTCTGGAAACCCATCCCACCCCGAATACATCCCCAATGGTTCATTCTTTTTGCATCATGAGATTCTTGCTCGAACAGCTAAACATTTGAAAGACATCTTCATCTTTGATACAGAAGGCTTGAGATTCAGTCCCTCAATCATTGTAAGCAACGTCAAGAGCTTTTCTTCCACTCTTCGATTGCTTCAAGGATCTGGGCGTACCACGGCTCTTCCTGCAGAAGACTTGACACCGAACTGTGCCTGCAAAGCCTTCCGGACACAGATCGCCATGGATGCATCCGAGCTTTCCGTCGGTAACTCCAGAGGCTCCAGCGCCTTGCGGCCTTGACTCGTGTGACTGTGACCGGCACCTTCCACAGCCCCTGCTCCACCCAGCTGAGGGACAGACTCAGTGAGGACTCTCGAGCAACAGGGGCAATTACAAATGTGAGGAGCACAACTCTTTTAACTGTGGGCACACAACCCAACTGGAAAGCCTAACGCAGGGGAGCTGACTTCAAGAGGGATGCTTGAGAGAGACCATTTCCTTGCTCTTAGGAACGACCAGGGTGAAACTCAGGAGCGGCCACCTTCCCTTGGCTCTCAAGAGGACAAAAAGGGAGACCACGGCCCACTCGGCACCCTCCCGATCCACCCGAAGGGCGGCAGCGGCGCTGCCCCCTCTCCCCGCTGCCCGCTGCCCGCGCCGGCTCAGCCCCCTCATCCCGGCCCCGCCTGGGCCCGCCCCCCGCGCGGCACGCCGGGCCAGCATGGCCGCCTCCCGGCCCGCCGGGCGCCGGGCGCGGGGTTGAGGGACGCGGGGACACCGCCCGGTGCGGGGCCACCGCCCGGCATGGAGGGGAGCTCCAGCTGCGAGAGCCTCGGCGCCGGGCGGGCGGCGGCGGCGCGGCCGCCCAGCGGTGACTCCCTGTCCAGGTACCGCCCGCCGCGGAGCCAGCGCCCCCGCCCGTGGGGCTCGGCGGCCGGGCTCACCGCGGGGCGTGGGGCAGAGGGAGGGAGCGGGGAGGGGCCGCCACGGAAAAGGGAACCGAAGGGATGGAGCCGGTGCTGTTCGCTCCCTCCGTGGGCAGGAGGTTCCTGCGTTTCCCCAGGGTCGGGTCTCTGCTGCTAGGTGTCCCTGCGCTGGGGGTGACGGAGCAGGAGGGCAGGCGTGCGCTCTGCTCGGCTGCGGCACAGCCGCTCTCTCTTACAGGCCTTTAAGCGCAGCAGGAGATGCTACCTCCACCAGGCTCTCGGTAAATCCCTGCATAGGCAAAGCATGCCCCTGCCCTTGGTACCTGCGGTGGAGGGATGCGGGAGATGGGCAGCACAGGTGAGCATTGCTGGAAGGACAGGCACGGCTCCCGCCTGGAGCTGCCGATCAGCACGCTGCCGTGCCCACGCCAGGCCCTGTCCTCTTCGGGAGCAAATGTCCTGTGGCGTGTTGAGCGTCTGTGGTTTTGCCATCATGTTTTTTTCTGAGAGCTGGACTTTGTGTCTGAATGGCTTGTGATGCCATGTGGGTAATACTCAAGGTCCTTAAGCCATGGAAGCCGAAAGGAGACTTGTGTTCTTCCCACCGTCCATGACCTACCAGTGAAATGTGAATTTTGTGACTGAAAGGGCATCCCGCTTGGGCCTTGTGTTTGATGGAGAAGGTTGCAGTAGAGTAGCGAGGGTAGGCACTGAGAGACTGAAAGGGCTGGTGGTATGGGAAGCCCTGGTGTTGTGGTAGAACCCAGGAGCAGACTGTCCTGATGGCTGCCGAAGGTTATTCTGTCCCATTCTGGCTGCCCTTGCCATGCCCAGTTTGTAGGGTCACTGGATAACTGAAGAGATCTTAGCATTCCTGAGTCCAGCCTCCTGCTCATACCAGAGACAGCTTTATGACAGATCAGGCGACTTCTGGCTTTTACCCAGTTTAGTCTTGAAAACCTACAAAGGTGAAGTGTACACAGCCTTTCTGGACAGCCCATTGCCATCTCCCGTGTATCTTCCATGGGCGCTGGGGCTGCTTTTTTGGTCCCCCAAAGCAGTCTCTCCCCAGTCTCTTCACACAGGCAGGGTCCTCTAGCCCCGCTATCCCAGTGGTGCTTCCCTGTACTCTGTCTAGCTCCCTAGTGACTTTGCTGCACTGTGGGGCTAATACCTGGATGCAGTATTCCAGAAATGCTCTACTGAAAGCTGAGTAGAGGGGGATCCTTCCCTGAATCTCCTGGCTCTGTTCTTAGAGCCCAGTGCCGGTGGCCACTTTGTTGCCAGCATCTCAAAACTCCCATACTTGGCTATTACCCAGCTGTTCCTCAGATAGGCAGCGCCCAGTTTGCACTCAGGTTTCTTCACTCTTGAGTCCTCCATGACTCCTGACCCTTATTTCACCCTTCTTCATCAAATTCTTCTGTTCCCTGCTCTCTGTACTGGTTTCCTTGTGCAGTTCTACCAGTGCCCTGCCAGATGCCTTGCAGGCTTCGTTCTCCTATACCTAACTGACCCGATATATTCTTCTTTTTATCTCTGCATCAGCTCAGGCAACTTGGACCCATCTGGAGGTCATTCACTGTAAGAGGCCTATGGAGACTAAAGAGAGCTTAACTCAGAAGAGCCAGTGGCTACAAGGAAGCTCCTGTTGAGCCTCTCGGCAGCATGCCCTGCACAAATGGAACCGTGGGGAAACTGAGATGATAAATCTGCTTCTGTTGAGCATGCACAAAGCTGTGTCCTCCAAGCTCTGGAAAGGCCCAGACTCTTTAACAGATTTCTTGGGATGTAAAAAAAGATCATTCAAAAGCTTTCAGAATCTCAAGTCTCTGCTTGAACATCTAGAACCCATAGAAGAAAGCTAGCCAGTTGGGGGGTTTAATGTACTCCAAACAAGATATAGGTATTTGAAATAATTAATGTTTTTCATTTGTAATTATTAATAAAAATACCCTCATCTTGATTTGGTGTATGCTGTGAAACTTTTTAGTTGAAATGATTCAAGGTTAGGGCAAAATTACAAGAAAATAAAACTAGGTTCTTGTAATAAGAGATGCCTGGTGACCTTCAGAATGTTTATTATCAGTTTCCCTTGCCAATCTAGTGATGCGTATGCACAAATAAATAATTGTCTATGAATTGGACAGTAGATTGATTATCATCAGAGTTTTTTTTTTCATTAAAGCTGTATTGCAGTTTGATTTTATACATCAGAATAATTCTCTGAAGCTAATTGGACTATTTGTATGCATTGAAATATTTTATCTCTGTGATTGTGATCTAACAGCTAGACCAACTTCAAATTGTAACCTGTGACACATTTTCACCAAATGATTTTGTTTAAAAAGAAGAAGTTAGCTTAGGGGATGATGTGAGGAACACAATGAATCATGAGGATGCTGTCATCAGATTTGATAATCTATTTCATTTAAAAGGAACAAAACCCAAAAAATGACTCAAAGGTCACTCATCCCAGAATCACCATTACCTAGCCATGTGAAGCCTTACTGAGTTGTAGTTACTGAACTGTTTTTTGCAACATTTATAAGACTTGGAAAGGTGCTAATATGAAATGCATATAACGGTGCAGTCTTTGGGTTCTCTCAGCTCCTAGTTGGAAGTGTTATTATTTCTACAGGTACTTAAGACCTAGCTCCTCAAGTAGACATGCTCTAAAGAGTTTACTTATACATAAGGCTGCTCACATTCGTGTAAGTGTCTTGAAGAACATGATAGGTTTGTCTTTTAATAAAGCACGTGAGATACGGCAATAAGATCATTTGACAGTGAAAGTTACTTTGATATTTTAGTGGACCCTAGTAATGTGCAATACCTGTGGTCCTTGAGGGAGATGTAGGAATAATTAAAGAAATGTTACATACTTTCTGTGCCAACTAGAAAAATATTTGAAAAACTCCTAATGAGACTTACAGTGTAATTGTTTGTATAGGGTAAAAAATTGCCAGCTCTCTGTGAAAGTACCGAGTTAGTTTCAGATGAGCAGGTCACAGCTAATTAACTCAGCTGCCCTCGTAGTTGTGCTGAAACAGCTGTTCTGCTTTTTGAGTCTCAGCCGTCTCATCCAGTGCTGGCTTTGTGTGGCATAGCACCGGGTTCTGCAGCTCTCTGTGGTTTCCAAAGGTCAGTACTTAGGATGGACATTCCCCTTCCATCCTGTTCACATGGAAGACACATGACCATGAGCCAGCTGCTCATAAAGAGCTGTGGTGGTATTTGACTAACAGCTTTCAAGAAGTGCTTGCGTGTCTGCAGTGTTTGTCCAGGAGCAACCCGTGAGACGGAGGAGTGAGGTAAAGCACTGATTCAAACATTTGATGAGCTGCAATATGGTTATGTCCAGAAGAGCGAGATTTTCTCAATGTTATGGACTGCTTTTATATCTCTAGAATGACCTGAGGATCCTAGGTGAGTGAGTGATAAACACAGTTCAGCTGTGCTGGTTATTCAGACTTCTTCCAAGACCATTCTTAAAATTAATTTGTGGGTAGGTTTGTTGTATTGTTGTTTTTGCAGATTTGAGGTTGCATACAGACCCTCTGACCTCTGGAATTCAAAGGAGCAGCCAACAGTATTCTACCATAATCTTTTCCTTTTGTGAAGGGAAAGCCAGATAGAGCTGTGTATTACTTTAGCAGAACATGTGACTTCAGGGAAAAAGGCAGTGGCAAACTTCCTATATTTACTTTCCATGAGAAGTGAATAGACATTTTGTTCATGCAGTCTATGTGGTTATGTTCTGTACTTTCTGAATGAGCATACATCTCTCTGTATTCCTCAGAAAAGCATATCATAGTTCAGTCTGAACAATGGTCCAATAAGTTATCTAACAGGCTTTCTGTTAGATCTGCTGAAGATAAATTTGTATTGCCTGTGCAAAAGCGTGGAGGTGATTGTACTGTAAAAAAACTGCTATAGGAGATGTCAGTGATATTTCAACGTCAGTATAAAATGAAAGAAAGATAAGGCAGTGGAAAGATGTTTCCCACCAGCATGACTGTAGCAATGCTTGATGTTACCGCTTTCTTGGTTGCTTGTTATCACCTTTGTTCTGGTGTTTATCATCCACAGAGGTCTGCAGACACGGTGGGTCCTGTGCACTGCCCTTTTACTGAAGCATATGAGAGCAATCATGCTCCTTGTCTTTATGTTTGCAGGCATAAGTCTGAAAACATAAACTTGGTGTAAATCAGTGCAGTAAGGTCTGTTGAACCAGTAACTCCATGAGGTATGAACTCCCCTCCTGTCTCAAATAAGGCCCTGTCAATACCTGGTCTGATTTAAGGCTGTGTTGAAGGAATGCTTTCCCCATGGGTGAGAGTGATGCTGGAAGGAGTTGGGTCTGTGAGCTGTTGGCTGAGGAGGGCTTTAGCTGTAGCACCACATTGCTACCAGATGTATGAGCTTTGCTGATTGAGTTGTTTTGTGATGAGTCATTGAAGTTAGAGTTTGAAAGGGAAGATTTTTGCCAGTTCTGGTGTTCAGTGAAATGCGAGTAGCTGTCATTTTCCTCATGGACTTTGAGAGCTTTTCTTGCATTTGATTTCTTGTAAGTGCAAAGCAAGATTTCTCAAGAGTTGTTACCATTAAAGACATTGCTTGCTGAGTGTTGATAATGAACTGATTTTGCATCTCAGGAACTTGACACTATGCCTTCAACCAATTAGCAACTCCAGATGGGCTCATTATCATTGATTTTAATAAATGAGAGATAATTTCTAACACTTACTTGCAACTGAAGTCCATTCTGAGACGGGTATTTTTTCTGGTGTACTGTGTATTGTGAAGATAAATAGCAGTTCTGCCTGCATATAGATTTGCAAAACAAGGAGAATCTTTTTAATGGTCTCAGGGATGAAAAATAATGAAAATAACATTTAGTGTAAAAGACTTTAGAGCTTTTAATTTATAGAAGTGAAGAGAAACCATTGCCTCTAAAGAATCCACAAATTATTTTTACTAGAAATCTTTGCCATATACATTTCTGCTCCTGAATTTAGCAGAAACCATTTCTACTCATCCCAGAGTGCAAGACCTTCAACTTAAAAGTTTTCCTCTGTCAGACACATGCACATCTTTTGATCCCAGATGGGCCTGTTCAATAAAATGCTTTTTATTGATGACAAAATATTTGGTTTAAGCGTATTTTCCATTTGAGAATACAAAATACAATTGACACTCACCTGTTCATTGTATTGTAATTAAGGTTACACTGGTGTTTAAAAGCCTCACAGGAATTTGCAGTCTTGCTCTAGCTGCTGTACAGAAGGTGATGCTTTCTGTCTTGAAGAAATGGGGACTAGCTATTTAACTGTGCCTAAGCCAGGACTACTCTATTTTTAATAATGCCTGGTGGGTAATTTTACTAAGCTCTTGGAAGTGCAGTTGAGTACTGAGTACTCCTTGCTGAGAGATTGGGCACAGAGTGAGAAAGTCTGAGATGAGAAACTGGAGTGGAGACAGGAGGCAAGATCTGAGAACTGGCGAGGAGTGAAGCGAGGCTCAGAACACGACTCTCTTGGGTCCCATCAAGCACTGCCTTCTCTGAAGAGACACGGTAATGCTGTGTTGACTAGCAGTCTGTTTGCTAGACAGCGCTGAGTTGTACACGTAGTTCCTTAACTACAGGCTATCTGCAGCACGGGTGCAATCACAGAACCTGAATTTTAAGATTGTGGATGACCTGACAATGTGAAATTGCACAATTCCTATCTGTTGCATGATTGTAAGCCTGATAGGTTTGCACCTGTCTCGAACATAGTTACATATTTCTGATGTTTTATCATCTCCCTTCCTTTTCTAGTTCTTTTACACCTTGTGTACAGTCAAGAACTGCATTTGGAAAGGTCATAATGCCTCTTTAATGGCTCAACAGATCCATTGTCAACATCTTTCTCGTTAATATTTTCTTGATGACCTGCTTTACTGTTAGTGGTTTTTCAGTGCTGAGGGTATCAGCAGTGTAAAAAGAGACCTGATCCATACACCAATGGGTTTTTGTTGACTCAGAAGCTGGACTCAGTGATCCTTGTGGGTCCCTTCCAGTTCAGGATATTCTGTGTTACCAGAAAGCTTAGTCAAAGAAAACAGACAACAGGCCTACATTAGAAATGAAGGAAACAGTCCAGAGGTCACCTTGATATATGGGTGTTATGTGCAAGTGTAGTTGTAATACAGCATATGAAAATGGTTTTTTATTTTTCCATGGGAAGCCCATTCCACCATTAGGAAAGAGTGTGACAGGAACGAATGGAGTGCTTGGTTTGTAGAGATGTCTAGGATAACCCAGGGAAGTGACAATACAGGAGAGACACTGTCAGCATAATTACCCCATCTTCCTTTTTAACTGAAATAACATCTGGCTTTTTTATTGCCGCAGCAACTGGGAGCTAATTGAAAAAAAAAATCAGTGAAAGACAACAACAAAAAAAATCAGTGGAACTTTTCAAGCATTTGCTTTTCCCTTTCCTACCATCTGTAGTTACTTTTGCCAGAGAATGTTCTCACTCAGTAATTTTCCAGCGATTTCAAGGTAGCTCTTTTTTTTGTTTCTCTCTTGCTTCTCTGCTACCTGAATTCTTTGCTATTGCTTTCTAAACCCTGATATACTTGATGAAGAGAAAGTTTTTTTAGCAGTTTTTGAGCCCTTCAAGGTGAATTTCTAGTAATTTTGTAAGCTCCTTACAAATGCTCCCACTTTACAGATCTGGCTTCTGTAGTCTTCTGGCTATGGCTCCACAATCAGTGCTGTGTCACCCAATGATTCAGATTTGATCTGGGTCAGGTGTGGGTGTGTGATCATATTTCTGCTGAACTCTTTGGAAAAACGAGAGTTTATGGTTTTTTTTTTTTCTTTGTTCTGGGAAGACTGGCGACACCTGTTTAGAATAAAACAACATTTTTATCTGGATTTATTTACTGTGATGTGGAGACTGCCTGTCCAAACAAAGTGTTACACTCAAAACCTTGTTCACGGCCCAAAAGGCAGCATGTTTTTATATAGCTAACAATTTATTCTTAACGTAACTGAATTTTTGGAAGTCTAATCGTGATTAGTTCAGATTAAAATATTACAGAAAAGTAAAGAATAATAATGCAGTTTAAACTGTCGTACCTTTAGTTCTTGGTTTCTATACCTCTTCCTGGTGTTATGTTCACCTATTTTCTGCTCCTATGGGTTCCAAGGTTGCTGATTTTATTCTGGTAGTAGTAGGTGTTAGAGCAAATTGTCAGCATCTGGAGTCCTTTCCTGGGACTTTCCTTTCATCATGTTGATTTATTTCTTTCTTTCTTTACTGTAGGATCCACCGGGGGTCATTTCAGTGTGTTTGGTAAAACAACTTTACACCTATCTCTTTTCTTCACTGGTCTGCCATTCCACATTGCATCTGGGTTTTTGCTATGTATAGTTGTTTTATGGGTATTAGATACTATTTCTTTGTTCTCTCTGAAGCCAGTTTTGTCCAGCTCCAGGTCTGCATTTCTTTGGTTGACCATTGGTGGTTTTTTTATGGCCATGGTCTCAGGTGCCAAGCCTGTGCCCTGTTTCTCATCCTGTGCGTCTACCCTTCCATGCCACAATCTGTCTCCACTTCTCCAGTCCTCTGCTGTGGTACCAGGCTGTTGTATGTATTTCTCTCTGCAGAGTTACTATGTTAGTGGTGAATATTCTGTATAGAATACCTGCTTTTTACTGCTGTCTGTGCAAAACTATGGTTGTACTGCACACAAACAAAAATAAAACAGAGAGGATATACGTACCTGACCAGTTGCAGAAATTGTAGTCACACCTAAACCAGTTAAACCAAACCTACAAGCAGGCCAAGAAAAGTTAAGGCAAAACAAAAGTGACGCATCCGGAGGCCTTGGAAATTCATTACAAAGCTTATGGTTTATGAAGAACAATGGCAGTACTGAATGGCAGGGCTAAAGGTTAACCTAACTATTTTTTCTGTACAAAATACAACTGCTGGAGTGAATATACCCCTGACCATTGCTGGGTGTTTTGTGATCAAGTGTTTGTTGCGTTTTTACTCCACTACCAAATGAACTGATTTATGAATTAATGAGCTGAACCACAGCCTCAGTTGTACCTTCTGCCTTTAGTGAAAATAAATCATTTGTGTTGTTTTTAATGCTGTTTTAATAAATCCTGTTGATGACTTCAGTTGATATCACTGCTCAGTGGTCTTCTTGAAGAGAAAGATTGCACACATTGGTAGTAAGATTGCTTTCATGAACAGATTCAGCTAAATCTGCCCAGGAAAGGGCTGGAGGCTGGGAATGAGTTTGGTGCAGTTGAGAGATTGAAGGGCCTGTCTGCCTGCTGTGGAGGGCAGATACTGAAGGTAGGGGCAGGTCTTTGGGACCTGTAGTACCAGAGATGAACTGCTGAAGGATGACTGTCA